GGGCAGCCTGTTGTGCTGATCCCCATCACCCAGGGCAGCCTGTTGTGCTGATCCCCATCACCCAGGGGCAGCCTGTTGTGCTGATCCCATCACCCAGGGGCAGCCTGTTGTGCTGATCCCCATCACCCAGGGCAGCCTGTTGTGCTGATCCCCATCACCCAGGGATGCAGAGCAGCCTCAGGCACAGCTGTGGGACACAGGAGATGCCCAGTTTGGGTTGTGTCCACGTGGCTCCGGACACCAGCTCAGGTGGTGTCACTGCCTGCCCATTCTGGTTCACAGCACCATGTGAGGGACGAGGCCAGGGTGGGAGATCAGACAGGCTGGGTGGCAGTCTCAATGTCCTTTGGGTTGGTTGTTGTCCCCTGCAAGGTGGCATCTGCCACACAGACCCTGTTAACTCCATTAAGGGAAGCGTCCTGTCCTGTGGGAGACCCTCACCAACCCTCWGCCTCTCTGCCTGGATCAAGGGCGCAGCTTTCCTTCTAATCACAGAGCAAAACCAGGTTTAGTCCAGGGGAAGRGAGAAAATGCAAGCCCCTCACAGAAAAGCCTTGTCAGAAGCCCTGCAGCTCCCAGGAGCAGCTCCAGGAGCCCWGCCCCTGCTCCCYGTGCTCGGCACTCACACATTGCGGGCACACAGCAGGCACTCGTTCTCRTAGGTGACCCAGTCGGTGCCACAGATGGGGTTGACGTCCTTGGTGCAGAGCAGCACAGTCTTGCCATCCTCGCTGGTTGTGTTGGGATACCTGCTGCAGTCCACCTGGACAGGGGACAGACASAGCCTGTGAGGGCCAGCTCACCAGTGGGGCTGGCGAGTGGGTCAGCCTGGCCACAGGGCACCCCCAGAGTGGGAAAAAGGTGAATCACCATGCTAAGAGTTCACTTGGAGCTGACCAGTGCACGATTCAGACATCTCACATGTCCTCTTGTTTAGGGTTTGAATTATTCCAGTAAGCTTTGGCCACTCAGAAGCAGAACACACCCCTTTGTTTTACACTTGGTTTAACTTACAGGGGTCACTTCCTTGCATTCTCCGTCGTGGTCTTTGCTGACATTGGTTCCATATTCTCTGCAGAGGGAAACACAAATGTTAGCAAGTTCAGCAAAGATGTCTTGCTACATCCTAGATGCTGGAAATATATAATTAATACAAGGAAAAGCTGACTCTTTGTCAGTCAGGCTTTTTTAAAATATATATTTGAGAAGATAGTGCCTCCCTCCCTAACCAGCTGAGTGGCTGGCAGGCATGTAAAACCCCGGGAAGCTTTAGGACCATTTTGGGCAGYTCTGAGCAGAGCATCTCCATCCTTTTGCTGCAATAGGTGCTCTCACAGCCATCATCTGGCTGATCCTCGAGCTGGAGAAGAGAAAACCCGAATAAATCACACAAACASA